AGTCATTGATATGATATTGCTTAAATCACCCAGAATCACCTCACCAATTATATAACGTGAATCACTTTTTAAATCCGAAGTTTGTAAAAAGTAGGCAGTAAACTTGACGGAATTTGAAGGCTAGCTTCCGGATTTGTTATTTCCGAATTTTATAATGTGATTGGCATTAAAAACACGCTCACCTTCAACGAAATTTCCTTTCCGAGGCTTTGTGTCAGCCCAATCACATATTGTGTCAATACTTATCATTTTATCGTAATTTAAAAACTTGAAAATTGCACGGTACACTATCGGGACTACGATAAATATTCCCTAATCGGCGCCATGTTTTTAGGCTCCTCCCATATGACGGATGCAAATAAAATATTCGTAATTTATTAATTGTAACATTGTGACCGTAATTGTTTAGCAACAATATCAATAATATTAATTCAGTAACATAAATTTATTCATAGTAAAATGTACTCGCGGGCCGTGAAAGTAATTTGGCGGGCAGTATACGGCTCGCGGGCCGCCAGTTGGACAGCCCTGGTATATAGTATACCTACAGAGTGGCCAAAAAAATACGCATGTGCTCATTGCGACTAAATTTTTCAAATAAAAGTTGTTTCCTATTTTAATACAAGATCATCTGTGTTAGAACAAAGGCTTTCACGGCTGGAATCCATAGTAGAATGAAGATTCGGGTTATAGTGAACTATTCCGTCTATTGAAGGGCAGCCCAGTAAAATATGGGTCCAATCGAAAAAAGTTATAGGAAAAAGTTTTTCAGAGTACCACAATATGAGACTTGCAACGATATTCAAATGTTTCTTGATTCGGTTCCAGTAACTCGAAAGGTTAGTAATTAGATATATGTAAGTACAAGGGAATGCAAATTTACGACCACTTAGTTTTAAAGAAAATTTTACCCTATTTAAGCTGATTTTAATTAAAATAAAAAGTTCAATGTAAAATTCTCAAGGTCAATAAAAGATAAAAAACCATTTGAACAGATAACTGCTACTCTGAGATTCATCCTGCCGATTGACGAAAATGCTCTATGTGCGATTTTTTTCCGCACTAATTTGACTATACTGCCACCTAATTGATTCCTTAAAATTTTTCTTAATTTCTTTCTAATCATAGGTGGCAAATCTGTCACTACAAGTCCTGCAAGTTTTTTTTATAATTCTATTGCATTGTCCATTGATGAACAATAAATTTAAAACATCAGCATTTGTATACGTTATTAATTTTAAAATAAATATATACCTATATAAAAAGAGAAACAATAAGTCCTGTCATATCCAGAGCCATATTTCTACTCTTTAAAAAAGTTGTTACCTGAATAAAGACAGAAAACATTTATTTTTATATACGGAAATAAGTGACATAAACCCAACAGTTATCGACAGCATATTATTGAGCAAAAGAATACACAAGTTTGTTCGCTTTAAATAACACTGTATTTTTTATTAATCCCGAAATTCCAATGGTAGATATCGAATATGTAACAGACCGTATAAATTAATGTATAAGTTAGAGTCAAGTAGATTGCAAAAATTATGGTGGCAAGCGGAGTTATAAATCTTTTTATTTTATTTTTTGATTTTATTTTTCTATTTATTTGAGACTAGAAATGTATTTGTCAGTATTGACTGGTTGAACACGCACCTCCACTCTTTCCTATCCTGAGCTAATCTTCGCATTCCTCTAAAAATAGAACAACCCACATTCTTAACTATTTGCGAACAGTAATCTAATCTAGGTCTACCTCTACTCCTCTTAACTCCTGTTTCTGCCTCTAATATGTCTCATATGTCTCTGACTAGCCCTTTAAGCCTGAGAAGGTGTCCTACCAACCTATCGGGTTGTTCGGAAAGTCATTTCGTTTTTTCCCAACAGAGAATTTAATTGTATTCTTTTGCACACAATTTCACATTTAAACCGTATAATTTTTATATGCTTTGAGAGCTCATACAGCAAGGCTCGTGTGTGAAAAATTCCAATTAATTCTACGCAGTAGTTTTTGGTTGGTGCCCTTTTAAATATGGAGAGCGATAAGCAGCATTTTCGACATATCTTACTGTTTTACTACAGAAAGGGTAAAAATGCTGTTCAAGCCAGAAAGAAATTGACTGATGTGTATGGAGAAGGTGTGTTGACAGTACGCCAGTGCCAGAACTGGTTCGCTAAATTTCGATCCGGCAATTTTGATGTCGAAGATGCACCACGTTCGGGAAGGCCGGTTGAAGCTGATAAAGACGCGATAAAGGCATTAGTTGATGTGAACCGGCGAATAACAACACGTGAGATCGGATTGAGGTTAAATTTATCAAATTCAACAGTTTATGACCACTTGAAAGGCCTGGGATTATCCTCGAAGCTCGATGTATGGGTTCCCCATGTTCTCACAGAGAGAAATCTGTGTCGCCGCATTGACGTCTGCGATTCGCTTCTCAAACGTCACGAAAATGATCCGTTTTTGAAGCGCATCATCACTGGGGACGAAAAATGGGTTGTATACAACAACGTCAAACGCAAGAGGTCATGGAGCAAAAAAGATGAACCGGCTCAAACCATTTCCAAAGCCGATATTCACCAAAAAAAGGTGATGCTGTCTGTTTGGTGGGATTTTAAAGGAATCGTTTTTTTTGAGCTTTTACCGGATAACACAACGATTAATTCGGAAGTCTACTGTCATCAGCTGGACAAACTGAATGATGCACTTCAACAGAAAAGGTCAGAACTAATCAACAGGAAAGGTGTAGTGTTTCACCAAGACAACGCGAGACCTCACACAAGTTTGGTCACTCGCCAAAAGCTTTTACAGCTTGAATGGGATACAATGCTACACCCACCATATTCTCCAGACCTGGCACCATCGGATTATTATTTGTTCCGGTCACTCCAAAATTTTTTAGACGGTAAAACCTTCACCTCAAATGAGGAGGTCAAAAACCTCCTCGATCAGTTTTTTGCCAGCAAAGACCAAAAATTTTATGAGCGTGGAATTATGCTACTACCAGAAAGATGGCAAAAGGTGTTGGGCCAGAACGGTCAATATATAATTTAATAAAGTATTTGTTTATTATACGAAAACTGTCTTTCTTCTTCTTCGAACGCTTCTAACATTTTCTTTTCCGCCGCACCCCCCGTACAGCGCCCCGCTTTAAACATACACTTACTAGAAGAACTAGAAGAACTTCCTAATTTTCGATGTTCAGAGAGTCAGATAACTTAGGATGGAAAAAGCGCTATAGAATAATAAAGCACAGAAGAGCGCAAGATCGGATAGAAATCAAATTTATGTTTAAAAATATTATTAAAAGTTTATTCATCTAAGTCAAACTATTGTAATATAAATTCCTCTTTGACAATGACCCGTCGTCTTTTAAGTATTTTAACTCTATATTAACACAAAAAAAGACAACGATAAAGTCATTGCACCACAATAATTATTTCGCATATTGCATTGCACCTGAAGAAGGATTACGTGTCAAAATAATTATTGTAATCTAACATAAATATTTGTTTTTTTACAATGTTAGTCACAGCACCCATACCTTCCGCTTATACAGAATATGAATGGTCAGAAGCAAATAGCTCAAAAAACTTTCTTTTATTTTTTTAAAACACACAATTCGATGTTTAGGTTAGATAATAGGTAATTGTAGTTACAGAATACAGTGTTCTATACCTACCTATAAATAAATACAATCATTTTTAAAATTATAGCCTTGATAAAGTCCACAATTTACGTCGAAACATCGGATTGTTGATTTTAAAATAATAAAAACCCGTTTAGCCTGATTGGCTCTTACTCTTCAATTATTACTATTAGAACTAAACCTAAATATATACTTAGTTTACAAATTAAAAAAACAGATGCAATTCAGTACACGTGAAAGAAGTGAAACTTCTTTGGCGATCTCTATACCTATATGGGTCCAATCGAAAAAAGTTATAGGAAAAAGTTTTTCAGAGTACCACAATATGAGACTTGCAACGATATTCAAATGTTTCTTGATTCGGTTCCAGTAACTCGAAAGGTTAGTAATTAGATATATGTAAGTACAAGGGAATGCAAATTTACGACCACTTAGTTTTAAAGAAAATTTTACCCTATTTAAGCTGATTTTAATTAAAATAAAAAGTTCAATGTAAAATTCTCAAGGTCAATAAAAGATAAAAAACCATTTGAACAGATAACTGCTACTCTGAGATTCATCCTGCCGATTGACGAAAATGCTCTATGTGCGATTTTTTTCCGCACTAATTTGACTATACTGCCACCTAATTGATTCCTTAAAATTTTTCTTAATTTCTTTCTAATCATAGGTGGCAAATCTGTCACTACAAGTCCTGCAAGTTTTTTTTATAATTCTATTGCATTGTCCATTGATGAACAATAAATTTAAAACATCAGCATTTGTATACGTTATTAATTTTAAAATAAATATATACCTATATAAAAAGAGAAACAATAAGTCCTGTCATATCCAGAGCCATATTTCTACTCTTTAAAAAAGTTGTTACCTGAATAAAGACAGAAAACATTTATTTTTATATACGGAAATAAGTGACATAAACCCAACAGTTATCGACAGCATATTATTGAGCAAAAGAATACACAAGTTTGTTCGCTTTAAATAACACTGTATTTTTTATTAATCCCGAAATTCCAATGGTAGATATCGAATATGTAACAGACCGTATAAATTAATGTATAAGTTAGAGTCAAGTAGATTGCAAAAATTATGGTGGCAAGCGGAGTTATAAATCTTTTTATTTTATTTTTTGATTTTATTTTTCTATTTATTTGAGACTAGAAATGTATTTGTCAGTATTGACTGGTTGAACACGCACCTCCACTCTTTCCTATCCTGAGCTAATCTTCGCATT